CAGGCTGCTGTTTGAGTGCTCTGGAACTGAAGTCTTGTTTGGGAACACCTCTGGAGGTAGAGGCAGGGGGGAGGGAATTAAGTTACTCAGTGTATGTTACCATGGTTATTGATGTTTCTTTATCTTTTATCTATTCCTACCCTTTAGCCTGCTGCCTTGTGACCCTAACCCCTTTGATTTTCTATGTAAAAGTGGGAAATCCCCCCTCTGTTTTTTGTCCCCCTTTCTGAGGTCATGGGGCACACTACTTAGCATAAATCATTGCAACTGGGACTTTGATTGATCTCTCCCATATCTTAGGTGAATGCCTGAATCTTTACAGAGCTTTTAGCAGGGGAAAATGTCACTAGTTCCTTTTCTAGCACTAAGGGCTAGAAGTGTCCTGACAAGAGAAACCTCTCCAGGGATGGGGCTGCAGCCTTGAATTTAGGACTTTGGTTTTATCAGAAGCAGCAATTAACCTACAACTGACACCCCTGTTGTAGCTACCAGTATATGGACAGACCTTACTCCCCACACAACAGTTGGTTGGTCAGTAACATCTGACCAGTGCAAGGGCAGGGAGAAGAACGGGAAGGGGCTGGGTAAGTTTAGGGTTCTCTGATTTTTGATTGTGTGCCTGCAAGTTGTTTGTATCCTGACCCAGCCTTCTCTTGGACTCTGCTTTTCAGCCCTGACATTGACTTTGGCCCACAGTTCTGTGACTTTGATTCTGAAGCTATGAACCTCATAACCTGATCATTGACTGGGCCCCAGGCATCCTGGTGTCTGGCACACAGCACCTGTGTGAGGCTGTAGACCCCTGGTTTTCAGTATGGGTTGTTATTATCAGTTACACATATGGAACTGAGTTTGAGAGATGATGCATATGCAGTTGTTTGAATTTAAGAATCTTCAAGAAGGGATGAACTTTTCAACCTTCTAGGGCAGGGGTAGGCAACGTTTTTTGGCCAGAGTACCAAAAAAACCATAATGTCTCCCTTGGAAGGTGCCAGAGTGTTGGCATGCCAGAAAAACCAAATGAGGGTGGAGGGTGGCGGGGGGTACATGGCAGGACATACTGCATATTAGTATATTTAATAATCATAAATGTTGCCTTTGTTTTTGTGTATTCCTTTTTTGTTGAGCATGTTGGAATGAGAGAGAGAAAAAAGAGATAAATAAGAGAAAGAGGAGAGAGAGAGAGAGAGAGAGAGAGAGAGAGAAAGAAAATGGAGAGCAGAGAGAGAATCAGACACACACACACAGGGAACCACGTGCACAAACACAGAGAACCAGAACACAGTCAGAACAGACACATGCACACACACATCCAGAACCAGACATGTGTGCACACACAGACAAACAGAACTAGATGTGCAGGCACATGGAGCCGGGCTCCTGGGCGACTGGACAAAGTCCAACCCAACAATGCCTTGGTCCTGCCAGAGCCCCTGTACTTCAGTGGGGAGCCAGCCTCTGGGCTTCAGCGCAGCTGGCTGAGGCCCCGATCTGGATCCTGCCCATCAGCCCAACCACCTACCCACCCTGCACAGCTAAGCCCGCAAAAGGTGCAGTGCTCCTGGCAAGGGGCAGTGCCAGCCTTGTCCTGGTGGGGGGCTGGGTTGGGGCTGGGCTCAGAACAGGTGGGAGTCAGGTGGTCTCAACTGCAAGCCCTGCTGCAAGCAGCCCGGGCTCTGTGGTTGGCAGCAGCTACCAGACCCTGGGCTGGCTGCAGCCAGGAGGCTGCAAACAGCTGCTTTGGGCTCTGGCATCAGCTCCATACTGGGAGGTGCACGCGCTCCTCAGAGAGGACGGTGGGGCTCGGGCCTGAGGCAGCACAGCCTTCCCGCTGTCCACTCTGAGGTGCACATGCAGTTGCTGCCAGCATGGAACTGATGCCGGGGCTGTGGAGCCTGGCACAACTGTTTGCAGCCTGCCTGCTGCCTGCTGCAGATGCCCCAGGCTGGCTACAAACAGCTGTGCTGGGCTCCAGAGCCCAGTCATCAGCTCTGTGCCGGCAGCAGGGAAGAGGCCAGGGTTGCACTGCCTCAGGCCCCTCCCACACTGTCCGCTCTGAGGTGCACGTGCACCTGTTGGTGTGGAGCTGATGCTGGAGCCCAGAGTAGATGTTTGCAGCCTCCTGGTCTGGTCCAGGCTCTGGGTAGCTGCTGCCAACCACGGAGTGTGGTCTATTTGCAGCAGGGCTTGCAGCTTCCCAGCCACCTGCTGGGAGCAGCCTGGGCTTTGTGGCTGGCAGCAACTGCCTAGAGCCCAGGCGCCAAGCAAAATGGCCTCGTGTGCTGTGCTCGGCACACGTGCCGGGGGTTGCTGACCCCTGTTCTAGGGTGTAATAAGTCTTAAGTTTTCAACCTGCCCAGCTACATACATGCTCCTTTAAGCAAGAATGTAGTGAACATGCCCGAAGTGAGTGAATGTTTGGCAGAAAAAAAAGTGTTGCTCACCCTGTGAGGCAATATGCATGCTGATCATCTGATATGAAAAGAATGTTTCAAAATGAATGATTGACAGTTTGTTGACAGGAGCATATGGATTTTGACTGGTTCTAAACATATGGTGATCTTGGCCTATAAAAAGTCCAAATTGCCAGAGATTTTTGGTTTTTTGGTTTTCTGTGCTTTGGTGCTGGCTCTATGAGAATTGTGTTGATGTGTGACTGAAGACAGATTGAGCAAAGAAGCTCTCTAAATCAAGTAAGAAGGCTCTTTAGATTGAGCAAGGAGGCAGTGGCATACTGA